TGTGTGTATGTAGTGTTGAAATGAATTGCGAAATCATGTTTTAAAATTAAAGTGCGCCGTCATTAATTCCAATCTAATGATTATTGCTCTGCCATCGGAGGCAGACGCACCACATATGCGTGCTCATGAATATTTATTAAGATATCTCTCAGTGGAGAAATAAAAAACATTTCAGAAAGATTTGGCATTGTGGATTATAATCCGTTTTAATCTCGCTGCGGTCCTTAGAGATTAAAGTATTTGATATTGTGTACTTCATTCAGACTTTGTAAAAATTTTAAAACGTAAATAAAAAGGAGATTTTTCAGATTCTGGTGAATATCACAAAGTGTATGACACAACTATTTTGCGCTTAAATTAATTACTTCATCAAAAAAAAAATTTTTTTTTTAATATAAGCGGCATAATTTTGGGCGTAACATCCCTTATAATTTTGTTATAATTTTGTAAAATTCGTCGGAATTTATACTATTTTTATTTTTTTGATTATGCTGGGTTGGTTTAAAAAAACAAAATAAATTGTATCAAAAATTCATTATATTTTCTTTGGCCACGAGTGGATTCAAAACTTAGCAAATTGGCTTCAATTTATTATATTTTAATCCCTCGATGGAAAAACTGTACTCCTGTACATACTTGACCCTAGACACGTGGTTAGTACTAGAAAAGAGCAGCTGCACTATGCAGATCGGATAAGAAAGCCGAGTTGGGTTGATTTAGTCATGTCTGTCTGAGCATTGGTCCGTCTGTTTATACGAAGGCTTTTCTCCGTGGCATATTTCAACCAAACTTGGTCCACAGATACACTGCTACATTTAATCATTTGTCGGACCGACCTGATTGGAACACTATAACATATTATCTAACGACCTATTTTTCAGATTTCATTTCATTTCATTTCGTATATACAAATAAACATTGAAACCGATAATCGTCGAAATCGGAAAATTCCAACAATCGTAAAATATTGGATTTAATATTTAGTACTAAAATGAAATTCTTATATATGATAATGCCAAGAAAAGGCGAAGACTCTATAACTCTAGTGTCTTGTTTATAGAAAATTTCCAGACAACATTTAGATTTGCAAGCCCATAAAGCTTACTTGTAAATCTTTAATTTTATTCCTGCGATAAATTTTGACAGTAGATTCGCCGAAGTTTAACCTTCAAGCGGGCGCACGGTGCCGAATCGACCGCGCTAAATCTGTTTTCATTCATAATCATATTATTGAGTTGTGTTATTTGATTTTACAGTTGCTTTTTTCTGAACTTAAGCTACTTGTTTTTGACAATTTTGTCTAAATACAATGATAATATTTCTAATTACAAAAAAATAAACGAAATCCCATCGGTCTTTTCGACTACTCGCGACCGCGGCGAGTACAAATGGCCACACGCATGCTTAAAGGCTAAATCTGCCTTGCCTTATACGAGTATGTAGTCGTAGTTGTGTAGTAGTTTTTATTTCAGTACACAAAAAAAAGTATTCGCCTAGGGAAATAAGACCTCTGCACTACGTGCTAAGCCTAATGCCAACCCTTCCTTCCATAATAGGAAACAAAGATTGTCTTACCTCAGCGCTTGAACCCAAAATTCCATTAATAAGGGACTTCAAATCTCGACATCATTACATGACTTTGCATTAATGTATGTATGTATGTGTATAAATAAGTACATATAATAAATCTCTCCTGTATGAAGAGTTTTATGGCATTTATGTGTAGACATATTCAGATACAGAGCTATGTATGTATGCAGGTGTAAGTCCTAAATGCTTTTTGAAACACAAGAAGGAAGATTTTCATCATTTTTACTATTTCGTGCAAGCCTTGCCTTTCAATCATACCACTACATGTCCAAACATTTGTGCGTATTTGCATACGCTCTGACCCTACTTGACTCTTCTTATCGCAGCGGCCAGCTTACCAGTCACCTATGAAACTATTGTTTTTTTTTTATTCATATATGTATATATATATATATTTTTTTTTTTTGCATTTAAGCATTTTTTAACTGCCACCCGACATTTGACATTGGTTCTGACAGCTAAATCCGCACCCGCAACACCCTATGCGCATACATACTCGTACATATAGTATATTTGTATACTTGTATATGACATATGACACACATAGCTATTTTGTTGGTTTAGAGGCGCTTATTTGCATATATTTTACATTCATAGTTTGCATTTTACGAGGTGTGACAATTAAGTAATGAGACTGATTATATTGCCGCAAACCCCTTAAAACCCCTTTTCCCTTCTCCCGGAATCCTTCTCTTCTTCATTATTAGCCACCGCCAAATTGGGCGGAACAGCTTCGGAAACGTACGCTAAAATCGTAAAAGTGCATGGTGGTAGTGCTCTTAGACGTGCCTAGGTGTTTCGATGGCAAAGATTGCGAAAACGAGGAAACAGGTTGCGCCCAGACATCACTCGTTACGGTATCGCCTTAGTCGCCCGTTCCCTAGAATGAAATCGGTGGTCAAAGGTACCCATTTTGAGTCGATTGAGGACACCCAGCCGACCGTGACGACGGTACTCACTGACATCTCAGTCGAAGCGGGGTTTAGAAATGTTACGAAGCATGGAAAACGCATTGCAATCGTTGTATAGCTACCCAAGGGGACTACTTTGAAGAGGATGGCAGAGTTGCAGAATCATTTTGAAATACACCGTTTTTATGTAATCGATTTCATTACTTCATTGTCACACCTCGTATAGTGTATTTTATTTTATTTATTTTTGGTTTGAGCCCCCAAAGCCGGCTTAACACATTACACCCACCAACATGCTAAGCCGAGTGACTGAGAGTTGAGTGTTTGTTTAAAGATTATAATTGAAATTATAAAACGAAAAAGAAAAAAAGACTACGCCAGCAGGTTTTAGCTGCATTATTTGAGGTCAACTTAACCACAGGCCACCTTTGGCTAATGTGTGATTATAAATAACATATCTACATACACGTGTACTCGTAAGCCTTACGTATAAAGCACATACAAGAGTATGTGGAGTAAAATATTTAATAACGGGAAATGATTGCCTGAAGCTGACTTATTTGTTCAGTATAAAGAATCAATATTTTTAGCTCAATATTTTATATACAATATAATATAAAATTTAAAACCCACATACTCCATAACATATGTGTGTGTGTGTGTTGTTTCGATGACAAACACTTTTAATTTCTAATTTTAATTTTTTATTTTTTAACAAAACTAAGAAGAGATGGTATTAAAACTGAGTTTCATGAATTAAGGCTCAAAAGCAGGAGCTTATTTTTCGCCGGACAGCTTTCCTCCTGGATTAGATATCGCGAGAAGCATCTCACTTCCTACTTTGCCAAAAAAACCGAATGGAATTGATGTGCCAATATTGACGATCTGCATTTCAAAAAGAGGTAATGGAGAAACGTATTAAAGTCATCAAAAGAATGTTAACAGGATTTTAAGCTTCAGACTCTTCAATGAGCTTAAAAGTACATTTTCTTCATTGCAAATTCAAAAAATTAAAGCAAAATATGAGAACTCACATCTGAGTAAGGTTAACGATTTTAGCAAGATATTATGAAGATTTATTTCGAAGATGAAGCGTCTGAATGGTGGAAGAAAACGTGACGTTCCACATATGGAAAATTTTTTCCAATATCTCTTTCTTCACGTCCCTTATGGTCGTTGTGCGTGATCTCATTCAGCCCTCTAGAGTTTGCTTTTTCGGCAAAGGCCAGTTTTGGCAAATACTTTGCCGTGGACGTTTGCATGGTTTATTGTGGAGAGAAGTCATTTCCTGAAGTGCCCAGAAGAGATGGGGTCTAAATCTCTTTCCTGTCGTCGTTTTGCAAGCGCAAAGTGCTTTGACCTTTCTCGACTATTCTGCCGTATTCCGGCTCCAGTTAGGGTTGGAGTTAGGGTTACGATTAAATGGAGATATTCGACTCGTTGGAGAGGGTGATCTACACGCCCTTTAGTAAAGGTGGTTTAAAAGGAGAGAGTTGGGAGTCCCATAGGACTGTTTCGGACTTGTCTGGCTTGACGTTCATTCCCCTGTTCTTGCTCTAGTTCCCTACTACATTTAAGTCGTTTTGTAGCAGATCGCTTAAATAGGGGGGTGTTTACCTATCGCTGTTAGGGCAATGTCGTCAGCGTAAGGCACCACACCACAGCCTATTCTGTTCAGTTTTTGAATCAGCGTATTTGCTGGGTACCTGGGTACCGGGCTGTGTTACCGGTGTCATTGGCGCTGCGGACCATTACTCGAAGAGTCTCTATTGCAAATACACGAAGAATGTTGTTAAAAGCCCCCCTCTATGACGAGAAGGTGCTCCATCAAGACAAATCCTGTTTCGATGCACCCGCTAATTCTTCCCGCGCTGGTCCTCCAACAGCCCGCTTCGCTGAGGTTAGACGTGCTTCTTTCTCTAAATGCTATTTTGGGAAGATTTAAACGTCGCAATCGAATTGTCTTCCAAAACATCTTTAAGATAAAAAAATGAGACAGATGTGACTCTGAACTAACATAGTTGGCTCTGCTATAATATAAGATGTGCTCAGCCCTCTGTAGCTCAGCGGGATGCAATTTAGTATTTTTCCAGATGAAAACTTTCTGCTTCCATTGTTTAGCATTTTCAACATTTTTCATTGCCTACATATAGGCGCTTTTCTGAATATTTATTAAACATACTTATACTTAATATGGAAAAGACATATAAACGAATCAAAAATTGCCGAAGACGCGAGAGTTTTATAAATTGAGTATTCTAATCTTTTAAATGTTTCCACTTCGATGAGTACATCTGCGCTAGGCTTATGTAAATTCCTAATTTGCGAATACAGTTTACTTAACAAAAACAACGGTATATTAAATAAACAATGGAAATTCAGTAAACGTTTGGAATAATAATATTTAATCCACAAAGAATAACAAAACCTTTCGGTATGTTGAAAAAAAAAAAACAAAAACAGTAACATCACTACATATTTATGTTTGCTTATACATACCCATCTCGGCAAGCACCCGTCATAGCGAGCGCCTTGTAGCGGGCCTGCTCATCCGTCGGCAGAACAATGTCCACAGAACGCGAACGTGTCGCATTTATATTCGGCACGGTGAGAAAGCAACCATCCTCGCTGGGCTGCAACTCCTCCGTTTTGCCCGCCGACGACATTTTCGAAAAGCACGAGTCCACGGAGGCGGCACGGTCGCGCTTCAAATCAGGTACAGTTAGGTAAATATCACGTACAACCAGCGCATGTTTGGCTGCTGTCGGCGAGCCACACGTAGCCACTGTGGACGCCTCATCCACCGAGTCTACCGCCTCCACCGATGATTTCACATCCTCGCCCTGCGACACGTTCTCCAACGAATTGCCAGTGGGCTCTACGAAAACGGCCTCCTGCCGTGAGATGGAGCGACGACGCGGACGCATGGTTGTTGGTGAAGGTGGCACTGCGGCGGCATCTTCTGCGTCGGCAGCGCTCAAACGACCGCCGCTAAAGCCTGGTGGTGGCGGCAATGGCAAATCGAATGTGGGTGATTGCGGTAGCAGTTCCAGCGGCGATATGGGTGGTGGTGGTGGTAACTCCAACATGGGGCTGTCACAAACGGATAACGAGATAGATGGTGAGGGTGGCGGCGAGCCGGGATCGATGGGAAAGGCATACGGAAAGGGCGGGCAATCGCCGTTCGTGGGCGAGAGGGTGAATGTGATGCCGCACGGTGTTGTCGGTAGTGGTGGCAGCAAAGTGTTGCCAAAATGTGGCGAATCATGTTCGGACTCTTCGAGTCCTTCATCTTCCGAAGTGGTCACTGAACTGCCTATAGTGTGGCGACGCATTTGACGTGGCAGACGCGCACGTGACTCTTCAATGCTACTGCCTGTGCTGAGGCCACCCAATCTGATATCCATCTCCAGCGCGGCATCGTCGTACTCATATGAGCCGCCACCTGTTTCGGTGCCGGTGGCGGCGTCTTCCTCCTCCTCTTCCTCTTCCTCCACCACCTCGTCATCAGCTGTGACACTCGCGCCATCAAGGTCTGTGTCATCATCGGAGCTGCTGTAACCATAAGTGAGCGATAGAGACTCGGGTCGATCGCCCGTCATGTAACGCTGTTCTGCCTTCTGTTGCTTCAAATATTCCTCCAAGTACAAGCAGTGTATGCAGGGTGGTGGCGTTTTGGTGGCCGAACTTCGACGCGTTTTCCCACGTCGCGGCACCTCGAGGAATGTGCCGGAGTCATCGCTGCCCGCAGAGGCCGCTGCAGAGTCGAAGGAATGAGAGCGTTGCGTGTGCGCGGCCTGTGGCACTTGCAGCAAACCCGTATCCAGTGAACGTTCGTCCGCCGACGACGATGATTGCTGCTTGAGCAGGTGGGAGGAGACGCGTTGTGCTTCTAATTGCATTTCATCGAACGAAGCGGAACGCACCTGCTGGCGGTTAAAGAGGAAAAGGTAATTACATACCGTTACACATGCACAGGCACGCGAGGAGCGGAGTGGAGCGTTGTTGGAGTGGAAGAGAAATTGAGAGAAACAATATTTGTGTTTATTAGTTGACGCACGCATGTTGGCTGTTTATAATGTGTGATTGTTGTTGTTGTTGCACATAATTTGCGTTAATTTACGACAGGGTTGCATGCAAGCAATCGCAGAAAACAACAAAGAGAATCAAAAAGCGTTCAAAAATTATGGACTCAGGTGCGTGCTTGGGTTAAGAGAGAAATAAAATCACACGTACAATACAAAAACGATGATGAAGAAGAAGAAATAAAATAATTTTAGAAAAACATTTTAAAATTTAGAGCGGATATGCGCCATGCCGCCGAGCTGATGGATGAATGGACGGACTGAGGATATGCCTGGACATGCAATTAGATGGTGGATTATATAATGATGTTTATGTGTATGTGTGTACATGTGTTTGAGTGTGTGTGATAAACTAGAAAAATATTAAAATATGCAACATGCAACGGTGCAACTCTGCAAGTGGAACGGAAGCATTCAACATATGTTGTTGGCAATTAAAAAGTGGGTAATTATGCCAAGCGTGAGTTTCACAAAATAAAGTGGAAGCCAGAAGTCGCTTGAAAAATATGTGATGTGCTGACAAAAAATTGGAATGATTCTTCATCGGCAGCGGAGCTCAAGATAGATCACATACGAACGTTCTTATTTCATCGGAACTCTTGCCATAATCTTCTTTAGAGACTGACTCACAACATGAGTGGGAAGAGACTATTGAATTAGGCGACGTCGTGCATAGCAGGCAACAGTTGGTGACTTTGAGCCTCGGAAGGTGGACCAATTCGGTAGTACTCTATGTGACAAAGATAAATGTACGGGTTCCGGAACACAGTTCGAGACTATGATCAGAGAGTCTATGCGGGTCCGAAGGCGTAGTTCAAGCCAAATATTTTAAGTTTGCTCTGAGAGATCAGCCGTCCCATATGTTAAATTACTTGGAAACGGTAACTTTTAGCATCTGAAAAGCCACTGAGAATATGCGTGGGGCTTGGGATACATCACAAAAATAATTATTTCCAATGAAAAAGCTGAACAAAAAAACAAACAACGTAAAAAAGGACGATGTAACCAAAGTTGCTTACTAGAACGCACCTATGAGCGCTGCCCTCGCCACGTTGTCAAAATGTAAGGAGCATTAAGCTTCCATTATGATAGGTGAGCCTCACCAACTACCTCAGTAGCTGGAATATGGTTGTCTATTGCGCCAGACCGCAGTACAAGCTACACAGCTATCATGGAGTCGAAAGTCGCGCAACCATATTGATCGACCGATGTTGCGGTAATCGGCAGAAATGTCTGCAGTGCTCTTAATGTATGCATGTTCCGAGGACCCAGCAACTTGGACCTTATCTGTGCCCCTGTGTCTTCATATACATGAAATGGTATACCAACTTTGGTAACACTTCGGACCAGAATAAGAAGAGATGACCTATCATAATTTATACTGATCGCTTCAAAATGAAGAGCTAAGTTGATTTAGCCATGCCCATCTGTCCGTTTCTCCGTTTGTTTGTACGTTTACTAAACTTGGCTTCATCTGTGTACCTCAAAACGGGTACATTTAAACGAGCATTTGCCGAACCGGCCTTGTAGCATATATATGGCTGATCAGATTTGAGATGGGTAAAAAAAATCCGTCAAAAAGCATAGTGAAATTCGGTGCATACATACATGCATATATACAAATAAAAATTGAATCATAAAAATGGGAATTCCATAGATTTTTTAAGGTCATAAAAGTATAAAGTCTTGCCAAAGACAATTCTTCTTTCTTTGTTTTATTCGGATTTCAAAAGTCCTTGAAACTGCGTGTCTCGATATAAAGCCCACTATGAGACAATACAGATTTCCTTTTCTTTCATAATTCAAAATGAAACGAAATAAAAATGATGTCCTTAATCAGTTGAAGGGGCAACCAAAGAGCAAATAAATAAAATAAAATAAAAGGAATGTAAGAATTGTGCGTGCTTGTGTGGTTTCATGTCTAGGCGTTTACTTTAATCGGCTTAATACAACGGTAAAGTGTCCAAAATGTGTGACGAGCCACTTTTTTTAATTAAATTAATTCATTTTTTATTCATATTTTACATTAATGTGGAAACCAACTGGTCACAGCAAGAGACAATAACAAAAAAATAAAAAAAATATTACTTTATTGTACATACATAAATACATGAGTCATTGTATATGCATGAATGAGTGTGCGTATACATATATATATTGTGTGGCGCTTTTGTTCAAATATGCGAATCAGATGTCAAAAAGGATTTACATGGGAAAATATTTATTCACTTTATTATTAATATTATTTTTTTCGCTGAGAGTGTCTTAATGCTTTTGCTTTTATTGTGTCCCGTCATTCTAGGCATATATGTTTAAGTACATATACATATGTAAGTGAATATGTACGCATATGTTCGCAGGTGTATTATTTCCACTTTGTTTGTTTTGTTGTGGGTTTTTTGTGTTCATTCGCATTAATATGCGTTAATTTTTACACGTACTTATGAGTACGCCTAAAAGTATGCTATTGTATAAATGAATATATATTAAGAAAAAAAATTCACATGCAACAATTGCCGTTATAATTTGTGAGTGTGTGTGTGTTATTTGTGTTAAGTCATATGACACAAAAAGCCAAAATAACAACAACACAAGTCATTAGATTAAAGCCGCAAACAAACACACACATACACATACATACGAGTATGTACATACATGCAGGCGTCACACAAAAATCCTGTATAATTTTCATGGAAGTAATTATGATGATATTGAGGTGTAGTGGGGTATAGTCAAACTTCTGTGTATGGAGTTACAGTCGCGTGGTAATACTCAATTCCTATTCTTGCGTCCACGTTGCACACCCCAAAAACGTGAGCAACTCTTGTGCAAGATGGGGTCACAAACCCATGTGGGTCACGACTAAAAGAGAGGAAACATCAGTGGAGCCACTTCGACTTATTCGGTTGAAGGGATCGCTGAAGTCTAGATGCAACATCTGATCACTAGAGGTGCGGCTAAGAGTGGGCATCCGTATTGAAGTCAGCGGCTCGCTGTGAAGGAAGAAATAAATTTAAGGTACAAGGACGAAAGCACGTAGATGCTTGTGACATTGACTGTCATATAAGGGAGCGCACGCCCCGACGGAAGAACATAAAGATTGGCCAAAGATGCCTTTTATGAGCGGCTATGTAGAAATCGTTCTTGGCGATTTTATTACCAGGTTGATAAAAGAAAGTATCTTTGATACAACTGTCAGAAAATTCAGCCTCCGCAACGAAATATTCCCTAATGCTTAATGGGTTGAGGCGGATCGACTTCGCCAGGCTCCGAAATATGGCAGTCTGTAGTACTAGATTCGAGCACATGAAAATACATCAATCTACTTGGCTGTTCCCAGATCGACCACGTTGTGATAAACGTAAGGCCGATAAAAAAAAGAACCCAAGATGCGTGATGAGTATGAAGAGCTTGAGAAGCTTGCCGACAGGGGTAATGCTCGCAAGTGACTTACAGAAGGTTTCAAGACCGGATCAAACTCTTGTGCGACACAAAGAAGTCGAATTTATGGAGAGAACCCTTCTCCAGCCTGCTGAATGGCAGTGACGTTGAAACACCAGCAGATAGTGAACCCGAAACCCCAATCGAAGACGATGGAAAGGACGTTTCGTCACCCGACCACGAAGAAGTTCAAATAGCAATCGTCCGCCTGACAAACAAGTAAGCGGCGGGGACCGATGGATTGCCGGTCGAGCTATTCAAATACGGCTATTTGAGGAACTGAGAAGGTGCATGCATCAGCTTCTTTGCAAAATTCAAAGCTTCAGATGAAGGCATGCCCGACTATTGGATTCCAAGCGTACTCTGCTCAATCCACTAAAGGGTGATTTCAAGTCTGCGCCAATTTCCGTGGGATAAGCCTTTTTAATGTCGCATGCAAGGTCCTATCGAGAGATAGGCTTAAGGCTTGGTAAATCAACCATCTACACACCCCCTCTTCGCCGACTTTGAAGAAGCCTGTCAATCTAACGTAACTTTTAGTCAATACCTTCATAAGTTTATCGTTATAAAGAATCCATTTTTTTTTTCTAATAATTCTAATCGCATTTTTGAGAAAGTTTGGAAAAATTAAAGTGTATTTTACATTTTAATGCAAGGTGTGCCATTAAAATTTGAGAAAAAATTATTTGAAAGCAACACAAAATTGAGATAATATCAACGAACATGCAAGATCAAGTAAACAATTAGGAAAAGAAATCAAAGCATGCCGTGCGGAATTCACAGGACAACTCTTAAAAACGATGCAACAACAGCAACAAAAAGGACATAGATAATATTAACACGGACAAAAGTCTTCGCACCTGTTTCGGCACCTCGAGACTATTTTGCGTTTTCATCTCAGCGCCGGTTGGTGTGCGCGAACGCGTGAAAGTCGTTCGTAAGCGTTGCATTTTGTGGTGGTTTGTGCTTTCGTCTCGCTGCCGCTTGTAAAAGTGTTTGCTGATTTTTCTTTCTTTCTCAATTCGTTTGATTTAATTACGGGACTTTTCTGTGTCTGCTTTATTTGATTGTGTTGCCTTCGTTTTATTGCGTTGGCGCTTATCTCGTTTGCTTTTTGCTTTTTCGCGTTTTTTTTGCGTTTTTCGTTTGTAATTAATTCTTGTTTTTGTAATGAGTTTCTCTTTTGCTATAACTGTACCGTATACACAACAATTTAACTGTTACTCAACACTTGCTGATATTTATGCTTGCTGGGCGGATGCTGAGCACTGTTGGGTGGTGTATGCGTGGGTGTGAACTCTTTGCTTGTAGTCCTTTGGCTGCTGATGCTGCTGTTGTTTCCTGCTTCCTTTAAATATTGCCTTTGTTGCTGTTGCATGTCGAAATAATCAGTGTTGTTGTCGTGATTGTTGCTAATGCAATTGATGTTGTTGCTGTTGTATTTAACTACGTTTTGATTACCATTATTTACACTCACATTGACATGAACAGCCTTCTTTGAAGCGTAAAGAGCGTCTAACGGTTTTGCGTTGATTGCTTTGTTAAATCCTGTCCGTTCGTACTCCTTTCGTTTGATCAGCAATGCCCAATGGCAAATACTAATTAATTGCGCAACACATGTACGAGTCAGTACAACAACAACAACTACATCATCACGAACTAGATCAACAATGTATATGGCTTGGTGTCTGTTCTCGTGCTGAACATTGGTAACAACTGTTTTGGCCAATTCAAATCCCATTTTCGTTCCAAATGATTCACTGTGGACCGTTGTTGTTGTTCTTGTTGTTGTATTTGCTGCTGTTATTGCTGTTCCAATTGCTTACGCTTGTAGGTGGGCCGTTCCTTTGAAGCCAAGTGAAGGCGTTTCGATTACCAGCAAATGTTTGTTGTTCAATTTGTTGTAATAATTTGCTCCGCTCTTCTGGCTGTCGGTATTGGCTCGCCGGTTGGACTGACAATTGCTCAGTGAGTTGCCTTTAGTGCCCTTTGGGCATATTTAGTGGGAAATTGTTGTTTTATTTGTAGTTGCTTCATTTATCGGCCAATTCTTTGGTCTTAGTTTTGATTGCCTTCACGTCTTATTCCATTTATATTATATATGTATGTATGTACATGCAGGGAACATTTAATCGTAGCGAGAAACACGTAGTAAAAGTAATTGCTGTATAATTTGAAAAAAAAAAAAAAAATGGAGCAGAAGAAGAAGAGAGCAGAAAATAATGAAATAAGTGTTGTTCTTTATTAAAAAATGTTATTTGCTTGAAGCTTTCTAATTTTTATTTTTTTTATTAAGGAATGACATTGTAGTTGTAATTGCAATTATTAATTTTTATGCATTTGAAACAATCCGTGGCGGTAAAAGTTTAAAAAAAATTGTATCAAAAAATTCGTAATTTTGTTGTACAAATTTAAAGACAAAAATATTATTCTAAACTTGTTGTTATGCTACCTAAGCTTCTTTTTAGGGGTCGGAGAATTACTTGGCACTGAAGCTAGAAATAATTTCTTACAAAAATTTTATAAATTTATTGTATTTCATTTCCATTAATAATTTTTATATTAATTTAATTTGGTTTATTTTATGTAGTAAGTTTCCTATTTTGTTTCGTTGTATTAATTTTTGTAGTATTTTTAAATTATTTTAATTCAATGTAAATTATATTAATTTATTTTTTTATCTGTTTTTTTTCTAATATTAAATGTTATAGAAATTTAATTAATAATTTTATTTTACAATAAAAATATTTTGTTTTTCATTTAACTTAAATCTCCCTTATTTTTTCTTTTCTATTTTTTATATGTTTTATTTAATTAAGTTTCCCTTTATTTTACTCTGTTTTATTTTGTTTTATTTCCATTTATTAATTTTTTTCAGTTTTTTATTTCGGTATATTTAATTTTGGTTAATTTTATTTTAAATTATTTCATAAATTTATATTTATTTTGAGAATTAATATATGTTAATAATATCTTATTTATTGAACTTCATCTTGTTGTAGTTCATTCATATCTTTCTTTTCGTTTAATTACATCTGGTCCCGTTTTGTTTTCTAATTATTTTTTATTATATATTATTATTATAAATATCACCTAATTTTATTTTTCTAGTTTTATTTTTATTTTCTGTTGATTTGTTGTTTTTTTTTATTTAATTATATTTTAATTGACTTCAACGCATTGTATTAAATTTATATATTTATTTTACTTTATTTTCCTATTCAATTTTATATTTTATATTACATTGTGTGGAGATTCTGATATATGTTTTTTAATTTGAATTATTTCATTTAATTTAATTTTGTTTTATTTTATTTTATCTTATTTGATTTTCATTTATTTTATTTAATTGCAATAATTTTAATTTTTTTTATATTTTTCTATTCTTTAGTTTTATTTATTTTATATTTGTTTTATTTTATTTTATCTTGCATATTTTTTATTAAGTTTTATAATTTTTAAAATTATTTTATTTTTTGTATGTTTAATTAATTTAATTTATTCTATATACAGTTTTATAATTTTTTGAATTTATTTTATTTTATTTATAACAATTTATTATATTAAATTGTTTAATTTTTTTGTATGCATATTTTATTTATTTATTTATTTCGTTTCAATTATAATTTTTATATTAATTTAATTTAATTTGTTTTTATTTATTCAAAGTAAGTTAAGTTTCTTGTTTTGTTCAGTTTTATTATTTTTTTGTAGTATTTGCAATATATTTTATTTCAATTTAACTTAAATTAATTAATTAATTTATTTTTTATCTATTTTATACATATTTTGCTATATTTCATTTTATTTATTTTTATATTTTTTTTCTTTTACTTCATTGCTCTTATTTTAGGCGTTTTTTGTTCCTTTGTTTGTTTTTTTTTTTAATATTTTATTTCATTCTATTTTTTTTTTGTGTTTTATTTTGTTTTAAATATTTAAATTAATTTATTTAAATTTTTTTATTCTATATTTTATTTTATTCTATTTTAATATACATACATTTTATATATGTCTATCTTGTATACATACCATACATACATACCAATCACCTATTCACACTTTTATCCGATTTTTTCATATATACCACCTGGATAGTTGAATCTGCATATAGAATGTATGTACAGTACATACATATTCGTATGTGCATTGTTTGTGTGCGGAGCTACAGGTCAATTTCATGTTTATAGTGCATCATGTAAATATTAAATAAATAAAAAACATACAGACACACATACATGCATATGTACATACACATGTATATACACATGTACATTACACATACATACATACTCTTATGAATGTAGCAATTGTGTCGGATTTATTACTTTTTATAGTTTGATATATTGCGAGCGATGATTCACTAGCTGACTTAGCATATCAGGAAATTGCTGTTATTTCGATTGAAATATTACCGTTATTATCGTGATAGTCTTCATGCTCAAAAGACTCGAAGCTTGAATAATCCCTGAGTAGAAAATCAACGAATTCCTTAACAATTTGCACCAACACAAATTAATTCTACTGAAAACAGCAGAAGAGCAGAGATTTTCATAGAAAACTGGTGATGAAAAATTTTGTATACTCGTAACTTTAAATTCAATTTAGCTGAATTGTAAGATTTGTGTAAATATTTTACGAAATTGTGAAATATGAAATTGAGAGAAAAAGTTTTTGCAATTTAAATATTTCTACTTTGAGATTTACATAAAACTTTTCAATAACTTACTTACAAGCGTTAAGTGGGCACAAGACAAGTGAAAGCCAGTTGGATTGCCATGAGATTTATGTTTTGTATAAAAATTTTGGATAAACTTATAATAAATAGAAAGAAAAAAGCATAAAGCTTTTTGATAAACTTTTTTATAAAATCTTTAAGGAATAAGTCAAGCCGATAGCCCCAGCAGCTAGTTGCCTTCCATGTTACGTAATTATTCAGAATTATTTTTCGTTCAAATAACTAAATAAAAAAATAAAACAAAAAGCTTTTTGCGTATAGAATTGAAGTTAGATGGTTTATCGGGCGAGATGCAACAGAAATTCAAAAACAAAAACAAATCAAGCCTTGTTCCGACGCAGAATTAAATGAGACACATTTCTTTATATTAATTTCTGAAAAGAAATTTCCATTTTCAAATGGGCGAAGTATTTAAGAGACGTTTGAAGAACATGAGTAGTCTTTTTTAATCTACCTAAAGACTTCCGAAAAGTTTGTTTGATTTCAGAAGGAATTTCTCGTTGATAAAGAATTATTAATATTTGAATACTTTTCGATTTTTCCGGTGTACAACTTTGTTTCCGCCGTTTTTTCCAAAATTAAAAGCTTTATTGCGAAAAATTGGTTACAGATATATTATTCAAAGTATTGTCCTTCGCTAGCGACAACTTTCTCCCATCAAATCCGGCAATTTTCGGATCCCGGCTCGAAAAAAGGAGTCCACTTTTGACGCTATCCATGAAGCATTCCATTTTTCCAATTCTTCGAAGAATTGAAAATGTTGATCTGCCAGGTCGTGTGCCATCGAACGGAATAGGTGGAAGTCAGAAGGGGCGACATCTGGAGAATACGGCGGGTGGGGCAAGACTTCCCATTTCAGCATTTCCAGGTACTTTTTGACCACTTTTGCAACGTGAGGCCGAGCATTGTCGTGTTGGAGGATGACTTTGTCATGTCGCTCTTAATATTGTGGCCGCTTTTGCGCTCGACTAAGGCGCATCAGTTGCGTTCGGTAGCGATCTTCTGTGATGGTTTCACCCGGTTTTAAGAGCTCTTCCACCACCATGTTTGTGTTCGACATCGAAATCTCCATTTTTACAACGTTGAAACCACTCCCGACACGATCTTTCACTCAGAGCAACATCGCCGTGAGTTTTGTATAAGATTTATGGTGTTTTGCACTCCAGCCGATGTAACTTTGAGCAGTTCGAGATATCATTGAAATAGTTCAGCGAAATAAGAAACAGCAGCTATGCTGGTCATTTGGCCCGGATGGATAAGAATACTCCACTTTGGAAGTTTTCAATGTAGTAACCGTCGGAGGAAGCAGTGGAAGACCTCCACTTCGTTGAAAAGACCAGGAGGAGAAGGCCATATTTGGTACTTCTGATCCGCACCAAAGAGTGAAAAGACGGAATGAATGATGATGATGAGATAGCCCCTTCACTATTTACATACATAGACATGAAATTTGGTGTTGCAAGTAAACATTGTAACAATTTGCAGTTTCTATTTGGAGAGGGTTTATTTCTTTGGCTTCTATTTATAAGCCACGGTCAGCTAAAGCCACTAAAAAAGTAATTTTTTAATGAGAAATTTGATGTCTATCCGCGTCCTCAGTGGATTTATTGCTTTAGAATGTCACGCAAACAAATAATGAAAACAACAAAAATAACGCTCACAGCGCACTTTCCTTAATTACGAAATAGCAAGCGCATCGGCGGAATTAAAGCTTGGCATTTAAACCGCAAATAAAGCACAACTATTTTTATGTGTTTGCACGTGTAGGTTTGTACGTATGTCTATTTATATGTACGTGTCTTACACTCTTAGCTTCAGCTGGAGATTTACGACATACGTTTACAGCTCAGCACTGCTTTCGTCGCCGTGAAAAGTCGTAAAACTACTCGTTTACACGTTTTTAAAAACAACGGTACCGTGTTTTCGAGTGCATGGGATAAAAAACAGGGAGCCCGCGGCGCCGAAGGTGAAGTTAACGGTAGTGAAAAAGGAGTGCACGCTCGTAAAGCGATTGCAAGGGTTTCAAGCGCAAGCTGGAATATGTATATATACAATAAAAAACACAAACACATACATATATTGTTTATATGTACAATGTTAAGTGACAAATGTGTAAGTTATCGTTGCTTCATGCGCCGTTGGACTAAATTTTCTTTTCATACATTTTCCTTCTCATTTATACCCATTCATTCATTCGTTAAGGCGCATCGCTTTTGCGCCTCGCAGACAACCACCCAGTCGTAGCCAGAAACACTGCACAGAAAAAAATTTTAAATTTTAATTTTTTACTCCAGTTTTTCACCCACTTCCACTTTGTATCTACACATACACGTACATATATGTACAAAGCCATGCACACGCTTTGCGCAGCCACAAGATCCGTAAATAGAAAATGAATAAAATGAATTTAAAAGAGCGAAAAATGC